CCGCCAACGGTATGTTGATATGAAGTTGCTTGAAGATATTCACAAATTTCTTGAAGTTTGGGTCTTCCATGGGCTTCATTAACCTTTGAGGGAATGGTGCGGGAGGTTCATAAGGCTTTACCTCTTCGTTCTTTAATTTTTCCACGTTTTGAGGTACACGGGCAGATTGCTTTTGCACAGGCAGATTGCATGCAGTTTGCCTGTGTAAGTCAGATTTTTCAGCTTTTGCACTTTCTTCCTCTACAGCTGCTTTGCCCTCCTTTTCTACCAGATTTTTCTTGCTCTTTGGATCCTCCAACTCCTTCCCACTCCTCAATGTGATGGCTACAACCATGGCGTCCTTTGGATTTCTCTCAGTATTTGCTGGTAAAGTCCCAGGAATCCTACCTTGAATATCTGCCAAAGTTTGAGCCATCTGGCCTATTTGCCTCTCCATAGCTAGCATAGATGATTGCATATTATTGTTGATGGCTAGCTGTTGAGTGACAAATTGATCAAGACCCTTGAAATTATTGTCTGTTTTCTGCATATGAGCCAAAATCAACTCCTCCAGCTGGGGCTTCTTCTCTGGTTGAGGCTGCTGCTGTTGAAAACCAGGAGGTGGGATGTTTCGAACACCAGCTGGATTATTATTCGACCATGACATATTGGGGTGATGTCTCCATTGAGGATTGTACGTATTTGAATACATACCACCTTGGCCTTGACTTCGCGGATTATTGATGTATTGGACATCTTCCAACTGAGCAGCTCCCAGTGGACACATATCCCTATGATGAGGACCCTCGCAAAGTTCACATGAAGCAACCTCCTCTTGTCTACCCAGAGCAATCTTGGCCAACCTTCGTTCGAGTGCATCAAACTTGGAATCCAGTTTAGCATCTATCTTGGCTTCTAGACTCGCAACTCTGTTTATCTCATGCAAGCCTCCTCTTCTTCGAATACTGGTCTCACTACCCCATTCAGTGGCTTCTGAACAGATCTTCTCTACCAGATCATATGCTGCTGGTGCCTCCATGCTTGTGAAACCATTTCGAGAAGCATTATTCAGGGCATCCCGGAACTCCCTTCTGATTCCATTGAAGAAAATAATGATCACGTTCCAATCTTCAAGACCATGGCTTGGGCATCTCATCAATAGCCCCTTATAGCGCTCCCATGCCTCAGTCAGACTCTCATCATCAGCCTGCTTAAAAGTAACAATCTCTTCTTGCCTCTTCATTGCCAAGGCAGGTGGGAAGTATTTATCCAGAAAGACCTTCTCAAGCTGAGCCCATGTCGTGATGGAAAGTGGTGTTAAGTTCTGAAACCAGTGTGATGCATTCCCTATCAGAGAGAATGAGAACATCCGAAGACGAATTGCATCATCGGACACAGTTGGGCTCTTCATCGTATCACATATGCTCGCAAACCGACGAAGATGCTCGTGAGGATCCTCACTGCTAGCCCCAGAGAAAGTATACCCATTGGTGATCATGTTGATGAATGCTGGGGTAATCTCCATGGTTGCATCCCCAGCCGGAATGACAACACATGAAGCTCGGGCTCCAATCCTTCGATTCAAGCGAGCCCTGATCGAACGATCCTGTTCTGCCATGATGACAGGCTCGATGATGCACGGTGGCGGTGGTGTTGGTGGTGTAGGGATGACAGGTGATGAAGCCAGTCCTCTCTGGGTTAGGGAAGGCCTAGGAGTTGTGGTTGGCTGCTTCCCTAACTTGACCTGCTTCTTGTTCTGACGGCAGGTCTTCTCGATCTCCGGATCTAGTGGTAGTAAATTGCCAGTCGTCCTCCTAGGCATGCACGAGGAGGATAAACCTGAAAATTCTTCTGCACACTAACACCCAGATCAAAATAGTTCACTCACAAAAATCAACAAAAACAAGGTATGGCAGTCCTCGGCAACGGCGCCAAAAACTTGATAGGGCAAAAGCGTATAGCTTCAATTCCTATCTTGTAGTAAAACCGGAAAGTCCGGGTATCGTCTCTCAGGGACTGGTACAACCTTAAGTTCTATCAATTTTATGAGCAAACTAGAAGTGAAAATAGTTGAATGAGACTAATTTCTAAAAGCAAAATAAACTAAACAAATTAACTAAATGAAAACTGTCGGGAGAAATTCAATAGAGAAAGCTCTGGGAGAAACACCGTGATTCACTACCTATCATATCAAAATTAATTCACATATTCCAATCAATTTAATCCATATCTCTACAGCCAGGATATCACTACTGTGCTAGCTATCCCTGTCGGGAATTACTACGTACTAAGCAATTAATTCAAATCCTACTGTCGTAGCTCAATGAGTTAATTATTTAGTCTGAAGACCGATATCCTATTTAAGACCGCATAGCACCTTATTTAATCCACTGTCGCTTCGATAAGTTACTATGTCACATGAAATATGTTCAGTCATTAGGGTTTCACTGTCGCTAATAACCTAATTAACTACAAATCATTGTATTGGTGGCCAGTCAACACAAAGCATTAAGCAATTTCATGCAATAGAGAATGGAAGAAAAGAATCATGAATCAATCCATCAAATCAAGAAATAGCTACATCCTATGGTATTTTCCCTATAATTCGAGGTTTAGTTCATGACGAAATTAAGATAAAACAATAGGGTTTTGTTCATCATGTTCTAAATCAACAATAAACAACTAATTTGGTCAAAAAAATCCAACCAAAATAATCACCGCCTTGTTGAAATCAGCTCAAACTTCCCTGAACAGCTCGATCGCCAAGTCGCCAATCAGCTCCTGCTGCTCGCTGCTGCTTTTTCCCAAAGAGAATCCCCTCCTGAGAATTTTTTGTTCCGTTCCCAAGCTGCCTCTCGTGTCCCAATTATGTTGCTCTCCCGAGAATTTCCTTCCCTGTGTCTCACCCCCAATTCGTTCCTTTTTCCAATTATGTGTCCCAGTGTATATATATCCGTCTTTTCTTCTCCTGAAGAGGACAAATGAGTTTGTCCATACAATTCCCCAAAATGGCCCCTCCAAAAGCTTCCCTCTCTAACCCTTCTCGTTCTTTCGCCGCAAATGACATGGTAGCTCAGAATATTGGGGCCTCTGCCTTTCACCCTGCCACACCTCAGCTCTCGCCATCAGAAAAGCGCAGGCTGGAAATCAACATGAATTTCAAAGTGTATGCATCCCGTTCTAGGAAGGCTGGGTATGGCTCTACAAATTCAACTACCCAATGATGTTTAACATATTGTCTTGGAATATTAGAGGTCTTTGTAGCTCCAATAAAAGAGGAAGAGCAAGACAGCTTTTGCGGATGTGGAAACCAGACATTCTATCCATTCAAGAGACCAAGTGGAAAAATCCAGAGCTCAAATTCATTCGAGGTATTGGAGGGAGCAAACACTTCCAATGGATTGTTAAAAATTCAGAAGGATCTTCTGGGGGCATCATTGTCATGTGGAAAAAAGCTCTCTTCTCGCTTGAAGATTCCCATGAGGGTGATTTTTCATTATCATGTCTATTTCGCTGCACCTCCTCTGGTCAACAATGGGTATTCATCTCTGTATATGGCCCTCAGAGTACCTCTGACAAACGTCTATTTCTCCAAGAGCTCCAAGCTTTATGTCTTCACTGGAGTCACCCAATCTGTATTGGTGGCGACTTCAATCTTATTCGATATTCTAATGAAGCTTTAGGGGCGCCAAGAAATTCAGTTGAGCTGGCTCTGTTCAACGACTTCATTGAAAGCAACGATCTGGTTGACTTACCCCTTTCCGGAACCCGTTTCACCTGGAGTAATCTTAGAAGTCCCCCGTCAATGTCGAGAATTGACAGATTTCTTGTATCTACAGAATTTGATGCCTTATTCCCCAATTCCATTCAAACTGCACAAGCAAGAGTTCTCTCCGACCACACCCCCATATCTCTTTCTTGTGGCAGTAGCACGGGTATCAGAAGACCATTTCGGTTTGAGGATATGTGGACGCATCATGAGGACTACCACACCCTAATCCCTCAATGGTGGTCTGACCCCCTATTTACTGTTCAATCCCCTTTTGATTTTGCAGCTAGGCTAAAACTTCTCAAAACCAGACTCAAGGAATGGAACAAGTTGACCTTTGGCAATATCAACGACCAAAAAGATAAGCTAATCTCCTCAATCCGTGACCTGGATCTCCAAGAAGAAGCAGGTACTTTGTCGGACACCGAAAGACTCCAGCGTTGTCTTCTCAAATCTGCACTTGACTCCATCCTCACAAGAGAAGAGGTCTTTTGGCGGCAACGATCCAGAGAACTATGGCTGAAATCAGGAGACAAGAATACAACATTTTTTCACAAAATGGCCAACTACAACCGCCGTCGCAACTTCATTTCAAAGATTTTAATATCAGGCCATCAGTTCTCAGGGCAAAGAGAGATGGGAAATGCGATTGTCGCCTTCTACAAAAACCTCTTCTTAGAACCACTTGAGAAAAGGCCAATCCCCGCAAACATTCACTTTAAAGCTATAAGTTTTACTGCTGCAGTTAACCTTGAGCAAGACTTTACAGAGCAAGAAGTTTGGGGTGCAATTAACAGTTTTGCAGGAGACAAGGCTCCCGGGCCGGATGGTTTCAACTTTAACTTCTATAAAACTTCATGGGAAGCGCTAAAGAAGGACCTTCTCACAGCTCTACTCCACTTTCAGCGATCAAGTACACTCCCATCCTCTGTCAACAGCACTTTCATTGCATTAGTGCCCAAAAGAGACTATGTTGAAGATATCAAAGATATTCGGCCAATCAGTTTGGTTGGGAGTTTCTATAAGATCTTGGCTAAGCTGCTTATGATCCGGTTGAAACTACACATGAGTACCCTCATCTCAGAATCTCAAATGGCGTTCATTCACGGTCGGCAGATTATGGACGCTGCTCTTATCGCCAATGAGCTGATTGACACACGAATAAAATGTGGTCGTCCGGGTATTCTTCTTAAGCTCGATATAGAAAAAGCTTTTGACCATGTAAACTGGAACTTCCTTCTGCATTGTATGCGCAGGATGGGTTTTGGGGAAAAATGGCTGTCTTGGATCAAAACGGCAATCTCTACAGCCCACCTATCTGTACTACTCAATGGCGAGTCCACAGGTTACTTCAGAAGCTATAGAGGGCTCCGACAAGGCGACCCTCTTTCTCCCTTTCTCTTTCTAATTGTCATGGAAGGTCTCTCCCTTATCCTAGACAAATTGAAGGAAGCCCAATGCATATCAGGATACTACATAAATCAAGCTAATCAGACAGGTCAGGTCACTCACTTGTTATTTGCAGACGATACTCTTCTATTTTGCGAAGCCAGCATTTCTGAAGTTCTACACATACGAGCTGCACTTTCTTGCTTTGAGATCATGTCCGGCTTGAAGATTAACTTGACAAAATCAGAAATCCTTCCAGTGGGTGACGTCAACAACGCTCCTCACTTAGCATCCATATTGGGGTGCAAACTAGGCTCTCTCCCTACCGTCTATTTGGGGTTGCCTCTCGGTGCACATCCATCATCAACAAGTACATGGACCCCTGTTGTTGACTGCATGACCCGTCGACTCTCGTCATGGAAGGGACAATTACTCTCCCTAGCTGGTCGTATTGTTTTTTTGAGGGCCATCCTATCTGCCCTACCAGTCTACTACTTCTCACTACTATTGGCACCAACTTCTATAATAAACAAGTTAGAGCAGACTATGAAAAGATTCTTGTGGTCTGGTGGAGAAGATGGTCGCAAAATTCACTTAATCTCTTGGAACTCAGTCAAAGCAGATAGACAATCAGGAGGACTTGCTATTAAGGACTTGCATTATTTCAACATATCCCTATTGGCAAAATGGCTCTCAAGATTCCTGAACGAAGAGCACTCATGGTGGAAATCTCTCATCACCATCAAGTTTGATTATCCTCAAGATTGCTGGAATTTTGATATTCATACAGGTCGAATGGGAATCTCTATCTGGCGACGCATAATCAAGGTGTCCTCCCACTTCTGGAAAGATGCAGTAATTAAACCAGGCTCTGGATTGACAATTTCATTTTGGAAAGACAGGTGGATACCACGCTGTACTCTTGCGGAAAGTTATCCCGAGCTTTATGCTGCTGCTTCTAATCGAAACCTTCGACTGTCAGAGTCTTATCAAACTCAAGGTTCCACCATCTGCTGGAATGTGCAATTCAGGTACACGTTCAGGGGTGGTATCCTGCAGAAATACCAGACCTTCCATCAACTCTTGACTTCTATATCCATCACCTGGCTACAAGGTCCAATTGATAGGCCTCTTTGTCTACTTCCCGGAAACAAATTCTCTGTAAGTGATTGTTATTCGTCGCTAACCAAAGAAGTATTTCAAGGCCTCGGCAACACATTCCCAGCATGTACAATCTGGAACTCAGCTGCCCCTCCAAAGATTTCTGCATTCAGTTGGCTTGTTTATCAAAGGAAGATTCTCACTATAGATCAACTTAGGTTGCGAGGTTGGTCAATCCCTAATCACTGCTGTTTGTGTTTTGATGCGGAGGAAACTACTGAACATCTTCTTCTTCACTGCACATTCTCTTCAAAAGTGTGGGCCAACTTCCTTATTCGGCTGCAACTGCACGGTCCCCTACCTCGCCTATGCAGCGACCTGCTCATTGAATGGAAGTATCTAACTCGCGGCTGTTGCTTCAAAAAATCACTACAATTGTTGCCTCTAGCCACCTTCTGGACCCTGTGGATTGAAAGGAATGCAAGAGTTTTCAAAGACAAGAAAGAAAGTATAGCCACTACAACTGCACAAATTAGCTATTCAATTTGTGAATGGGCAGCTTTCCACAAGGAGGTCTCTGGCAACGAAATTCAAGCACTTCATACAATGCTCATTGGTTGCAACAACAACCCCTCCTTTCAGCCTCCTTGAAATGTTTATCTTATAATTGTTCTGGTTCTTACATTTTTCTTTATGTAATCATCAGGAGCTAGTCCATTTCTTATGGACCCTCCACCTTTAAGATGAATAAAACTTTAGCATCAATTCATCAAAAAAAAATTTCCTCTTCAAGGCCGCCAGCTCTCCACAGTAATTGGCCTGGCCCAAAAAATAATTCCCCTCTTGGTCTCGTTTCCAATTCGCCTCCATGTCAAGGGACTCCGGGCCATAATTTCCCAGCCCAGTCGAGTCACTTCCAGCCCACTGTTCCTCCTAGCCTAAGTGAATATTCCACCAATGATTAGAGCCCGATTGATTGCTTGTGCAATTTCTCCTTTTTCGTGCTTTCTCCACCTGTAACATATCAAACTCATGGCACTAGGAAGTAATGGTTTTTCAACCATTTCCGGGTTAGCGAGCCCTAAAATAGCACCAATCAGCTTAAACAGATCATGGGATAGTCACATAAAGTTCAAGAATCCGATATATTAAAGCCGATTATCACATAACCTCATTGTCACATTGCTCTCTCTCTTTCTCTATGAACATTAAACCTATCTCACCGGAGGTAATGGCCAAGCTTTGCTTTCGTTGCCATAGAGACGGAAATCACTTAACATCCACCGTGCCCATCAATTACTATGAGTTCGGAACTGGGAAAGAAAAGTTGCTGCTAGCGGGAGGACTCGGGGCTTCGAATTTGCAGCACCACATCATGGGTTGGAGTCCCTTTGTTGTCTGGTGTGGCTGATTTCCCACCGGCTTCCATTGGTCTCCTATATACAGCGGCGGAAAGAGGTGGTGTAGCGTGTGACGATGAAGCTACGGTTACCTCCTTATTTGTCGCAGCTGCGACGGGTGATGATCGAGTTTGGAGTGGAGGAGATGGTCCCCTCAACTTCACAAAGTTGGGACATTAACGAACGGATCATCGACTCCAAGGTTGTCATGCCTCTGTTGAAAATCCTCCTGCATTGCGTTCATGCTGGCAGTGTATTTCGAAATTGATATCTTGAACTGGTTGCGGAACAACCAACCTATGATACAAATTGTTACGAGATGTTGAATTGACGAATTATGCATCTTGCACTATCATACGAAAAAAAAATGATAAATAAAAAAACTACCATAATTAAAAGAAAGACAATAAATAAATATATATTTAGTTTCCATCTTAATGACATTAAATTAGATTTTGAGTACATATTTATAAGCATATAAAACTCTCATTTCTCCTATCCAAAACATGACTACTTCTCCCACAAGAAAACAATAACAAATTCGTAAAGAACTACTAAAAACCACAATCCAAATCCTACTAAAACGATTAAAACAATAATAATAATAATATCACAAATAATAATAAAGTACCAACTAATTAATATATAAATGAGACAAAAAAATCCCTAATTTATCATATTGAGTCGTTTCGTAACGCCGTTGCCATATAAAACACAATGTTTGGCTCTTAATAGAAAACACGAGCCTTTTTTATCTTTCATGATGGGCCATATCCAACAAGTTGCCGAGTATATGGAATTATACTTAAGTGAAAGTACAATTACCATGAAGTTCATATGTTACTTCCATTTGTACAATATTAGTTCCACTAACTTCAATTAGGGTGCTAAGGTGTTCAGTTTTGGTAAACCACTCATCGATATGATGGTTAATGGTTAACCAAGTAAAAAACTCATATTAATAATCGAACCGATAAATCTTATTAATCAACCATCTCTCATCGATACGGTTAGAGATTATTTTGACGGTTAACCAATAATCACTAACAAGCAAATATGGTGTTAGTTCCCAACGACATACAAGATGTCCATCCAACACATCTCTATCATGGGACTGAAGAGCTTGCCTGGGCATGGGGTTGTTTATGCTCTAAGTTTGAGAAAGTTGTAAAACGACTTGCTTCTTGATATGGTGTTAATAGAATACGTGTAAATCCATGGAGAACTGATGAGAGGTTGCTTTGTGTTTTGTTTTGTTTTGTTTTTTTGGTGTCTAGAATAATAACACAACAGCAAGAGATGCTTAACTTCTTTTTTTCTTCTTCTTAGTTTTGCCATTTCTGTCGACAAGCAAACAAACTAAGCATACGTCATAACCCGCTACCCACATAGAAGGTGAAGCGTCAAGAGTGGGTTTGGGAAGAAAGCCTCTGAAACTAGGACCACAAGCAGGGTCCTTTGCTTTCTGCAACATTGGCTAATAACAAAATAACTTATTTTTTCAAGGCTATAACTTGAAGTGGCTGGTCGAACGGTTCTATAAGTGAAGGTAAAGTACAATAAGTACTTGGGCCTTGTTAGGTTGGGCGAAAGAGTGGGCTTGGCTTTTGTCTTAGATTTTGGCCCAAAGGGTGCAGAGTTAGAGTTTTGCTAGTTAAGCTTACTTGATGAGCTGAGCTCGACTTATGTGCAATAAAAAATCAGCTAAGATTTAAGTTTAAGGGTCCGTAAGTGGTTTTATTGTTGGTTAATCACTAATCAATGTGTCAGTTATTGATTTAATAATTAAGGTAATACCGACAATTCATCACTGAACTGCATTCTTTTTGTGGTTATCGATTTAATCGCTAACCGTCCCAGTTAAACGGATAACGGCATAACAGTTGTCACCCCTAACTTCAATATAATATGTTTTTTTAGCCATCTCATATTGCTTATGATGCACTAAGTATGGAACATGAAGAGATTGACCGTCCGCAACTCCAGTTTACCCACCATTTCAGTCGAGTTCGAATGAGGCAACACCATATCTTATCCATGTGGTTCTACTAGTATCATTAATTTGAAGTACCAATATTTTATGGGGTTTTCGGCTTCGAATTGGTGTTACCCATCTCATGCTTTGTACTTAGCTTCCGACTCCTAACCCCTTTTGAGAGGCAAGCAGGCTATGAGAATGACCAATATTTTATAGGGTTGGCGTATCAATTATGAACTATTGCCCTCCTACCTCATCTTAGAGAAACGAATACATTATTCTCAATTCTCATTCCCAATCTCAATTGTTTGTTTTAGCACAATAAAATCACTTTCTGTCTTGCTATATACATTCTTTTCAGTTATTGTTTCCATACTGGTTAGATTTAGCTGACGAAGTTCATCATGATGAAGCATAATTTTAACTCTCTCAAGACCTGGTCTACAAATGGAGTCAAATCTTTCACCTGAAGCTACTTGAATCAGTGTACTCCTCGGATCTGTTAATTCATATAACTCATGTTTGATTGGCCTTTTAAGTCCATGAGCTATTGTGATTAGTATTTAGTATCAGCACGACATAAAATGGACCAATAATTAATATCAACACGACACTACCAGCATAACTCATAATGCTTTTCCTATTAATTTCACTCTCCTATGCTAGCTTTTTTGTTAGCTAGAGAAGCGACTCAAATGCACAGATCTGGTTGTGTCCTCGATTACTTCTTAGTCTTACCATATAATCTTTCAATTTCGCCACTGGCCACTGTATGGGTGAAACCAAAGTTTTTAAAAGGCGAACAAAACCAGTCAGTCCGACCG